GCCCTGCTCCCTCTGCACAGCCCCTATGTGCCTTGCACCTCTGCACCCTGCAGCATGGCCACTGTGCACCTTGCACCCCTCTGCATGGGGACTGAACACCCTCTTGCAAGAGGGCTCAGAGGGGTAGTCATGTTAGCCTGTATCTTTAAAAACAAGTAGTTCTGTTAGAGACTCACAAAATATATATATAGTATTATGAGCTTAGAGATGCTCAATATATATATAGTATCTTGCGCTTTCTTGGCCAAAACCCACTTTGTCAGATGAGCTTGAGCAGAGTAAGAGAGGCATGCCAAGTCCCTGATGCTGACATCTCTTATGTGACAAGTTGGTCCACTGGTGTGTTCACGGTGATGGAAGTGGGAGTGAATGCAGAACTGCTTATGTTGTGAGACATGGCCCTTGTGGTAGAGTATGCTCTCCTCTGGGATTAGCTGCCAATGCTTGGAGTCGCTGGGCACTCTACACCAACTGGGCTCTGTACTCTTCTATTGCTCCTGCAGTTCTGCTGCTGTGTATGTCTGAGCATCCGCTGTCCATGATTAAGCGGGCCATGTTTTGTTAGTTCTCTGCGTACCCAGCGCAGCCTTCACAGGCTTCCTGTACATCTCTGCTTGGCGTAACGACATGCACTGGCCTTCCAGTAGAACCTCTCTTCCTCCTTAGTGAAAAAGACCACCGTAGCCCAGATAACACCACCCTTCTCTCCCTTCAGAAATTAAAATCAGTTGTCAACAGGCATTTGCATCATTTGAAACCCCTCTCTGAGCTGTGACTTTTCTGCTGCTTCCCTTTTTTGTCATCTGTTAAATTAGGCGTTTGTAAAACAGCCAAGTCTGATGTCACATAGACAAGGGGTAATGCTCTTCCTTAGAGCTGTATGGATAGGGGAGCCACGCTAACATATTTGTTTTATGTCACACAAATAGATTAAACATTTACCAACAACACTTAATGCCATAATGCAGGTTTTTTGTTGGGTTATTTTGTTTTTGGCTAACATCTAATGCTGGCATTATAGAAGTGGATAATAAACCTTTTAAGTACGCTAACAAATAACATGGAATATGCTCTAAAGGGTGGGTAGGCATCACTTTATCTTCTTTAGCCACTTATTTAGAGAAGCAGGGTAGTCACACTGTTAACAGAACATGCAGCGAACCACAATGTCTGCTGCACAAAATATCTGTAATTTCATGAAGCCTTTCAAAGGTGTGGCTCTGAAGACACAAAATTTAAGGTTGGCTTGGCTTGAAAAGAAGGTCAATAGTTTTCATTATGGCAATGAAGATGCAAATCTAACTGCTACAGATTGTATCGTCTTAAAACAGGGGTGGCAATTTTTGTGGGGGGGCTGTGACGTAGTGGGGGTACTTGCCGGGCTGTGGTGACCTCTGCTGTCTGGAGCAAGACCCAGCAGGGAAAACCTCATTATGCAAAGGTGACTCAAAAACCTGTCTGACCTGCGGCCCCCCATGGGGAGAAACAAAGGGAGGTGGATGCTGCCCTGGCTGTGGGCTGGAAGAGGGGGAGTTTGTTCCTGGCTGGAAGGCAGGGAAGAAGGAGCTGGGGAGGGGGGCTGGGACTCCCCTATCTCAAGGGGGGCACTGAGGCCTCTTAGCCCCAGTTCCTGTAACCAGATTACATCTGTGCTGCGCTGTGCTGGAGGAACAATAAACAACCTCCATTCTACTGGCTGGTGAAGTCTGTTCATGCCAATTCAGGGGTGCAGGAGATGGGAAAATCCCGACGCGCCGTCACAGGGGCACTTCATGATTTTTGGCAGTAGGTACTGGCAGCCCCCAAAAGGGGCAGGGCCTCAGGCAGAAAGGCACTGTTCCCTGTAGGCACAGCCCACCCCAACTGGAAGGGGAGGATGCTGTATGCTCCCTACCCCTGCCAGGGGTACACTGCGCCCAGAAGGAACCGCCAGCCATTTTCAACAGACTCTCCCATTCCCAGGTCTCGATTGGCCTGTGGGTGGGGAGTGGCAGGGCAGCCCTGGGCTGGATCAAATGGCTGGGCGGGCTGGATTCAGCCCGCAGACCCTATCTTGCCCACCCCATCTTATGCCAAGTGATATACTTGCAAATTAGTAGAGACATGCAAACATAGACATTGCTTTAAGTGCTCTTGTGCTCACATTCAGCAGACTCACTCTGACATTTCTTTGCTCGTGCCTTTAGGGGTAACATTCAGTATGTGGAGTCAGCTACACCCTCGAGCAGATGCAAATACTTTCTCTGGGATGGAGATTGTATTTTCAGGGCCAGCCCGGCTTATGACCCATTCCCCACGTCTCCATTTATACCCGATGGCTGTGTCTAGACTGGCCAGTTTTTCCGGAAAATCAGCCGCTTTTCCAGAAAAACTTGCCAGCTGTCTACACTGGCCGCTTGAATTTCCGCAAAAGCACTGACTTCCTTTTTACGGAAATACTATGCTGCTCCTGTTTGGGCAAAATTCCCTTTTGCGCAAAACTTTTGGCGATCGGGGCTTTTTGGCAGAAAAGCGCGTCTAGATGGGCACGGACGCTTTTCCGCAAAAAGTGCTTTTGCAGAAAAGCAACCGTGCCAATCTAGACGTTCTTTTCCGAAAATGCTTTTAACGGAAAACTGTTTCCATTAAAAGCATTTCCGGAAAATCATGCCAGTCTAGACGTAGCCAAAATGTGCTCTGCAGCCATGATTCTTGGCTTCTGATGAAAATCCAAGGGCCAGCTGCTCAGCTGGTGTAAACTGGCACCCCTCCTTTGACATCAGTGGAAGCATAAAGAGTTACACCAACCAGCTGAGGCGCTCTCTTAACATGTCCCAGAGAATATCTTTCAATATTAATACATGCAATGAGGGAAATCACAAAGGCCCTGTGTTTCCTGCTGCGCTCCAGTTTTATACTGGTACGTCCAACCAGTTAACTCCTGATTAACATGAAAGGACCTTTTATTTCTGTAAGGGTGAACTCTCATCTAAGCATGTAATCAATGTGCCTGTTGACAGGTAACTTTTTCTTTTCCGTTAAACTAAAAGGACATCCATAACATTATGGTTCCCAGCAATGTTCCCTCTATTATTTTCCATTCATAGAATAAATTTTGTTGTGCACCAAGGCATGTGCACATGTGCACCACCAGTAGAAACATGCTGCTGGTGGTGGGCACTCTGCTAATCAGCTGGATGGCATTGGACTCTCTCCTGGCTGACCACCCAAGCACTCAGCTTACAGGGAGCACTGGTCACCCCTTCCTGCCATCCCATGTGGCCAACTGCTCTCCCACAGCCAGAACTTCTTGGATTTTCACCTTGACAGTGTCCCAAGCGTGGCTCCTTTTGTGCATCTCACTAAAGGTCAGAAGATGCCACATGTGCATCTGCAAATAAAATGGACCAACCCTGAATTTGCCCCCAAAACAGTCTGAGACCCAAAAGCATCTTCGCTAAAAGCAAAGTGAAAGGGAACCATTGTGGTGGGGAGAGAATAGTGAGTTCCAGAGATCCAAACTAAGGTCACTCTGCCTCACTGGGTAGGGGCTTCATGCTGCAGCACCCCTCAGCGAGTCCAGCTGTGACCGACCCTGCTGGAGACGTGCCTGCTCTGCAGGGGTTCATGCACCTGGCTCAGCATTGGCAGTGACACTCCTGCAGCGTTGCCAAAACAGTTAGGTTCATGGGTCATCAGGACGACAGCACAGGAAGTCCGCAGGGTAGCATAGGAGAACGGAAGACTAAAGTGTAGACTGTTCTAGTTAGCCCAGAGGAACCCCCTTGGTTCAAACGCCATCTGACCTCCTTTGTTAGAACCCAGCTAAGCCCTGACTCCTTCCAGCAGCCAACACTTGCTTCCCCCACCCCCGCCCCCCATACCTCTCCAGTCCTTTGAGCTCAAGCTGAGATTGCTGTTCACTTACCCACAGGCCACTGGTTGCTAGGTGTCAATGTCCTACCTGTATCCCATTGATTTTCAATGCCATTAGGGCTCCTAGCTTCATCCATTCCTTTTGAAAAAGTTCCTGGGGCTGGATCCCTTTCTCAGGGGGAGAGGGCTGCTTAGGAAAGGCCCTGAGTGAGTGCAGAGCAGCAGGGGGGAGGAGAGAGAGAAGGGAAGGGCTATGCACTAGCCCTGCATGAGAGCCCCCGCATCTCTCACTGGCATCGGGCTTGTATCATTTGCAGGAAGAGGGGTGTTGGGTGTTCAGAACTGGAAGGGCAGGAGCTGCGAGAAAGGCAGTGGGCACAGGAAGAGCAAACAGAGAGAAGGCAGTATGGCCTAATTGCATGAGGAAACAATTTACAGCTTAGCTAGAGATGCTTAACACTATCTGTGGGGCACCTACTTGGTTTTTAAACACACTGGCTAATGAAATCTGCTTCTTCCTTTCCCCAAGGAATCGTTCAGAGATGCACAGCTGTCAAATACCACTTCTCCCCGCCAACGCACTTACGAGACATCCCGTTCAACTTGACCAAGACCATCCAGCAAGACGAGTGGCATCTGCTTCGTAAGTTCACAAATTGCCAGCTCCTCTCCCATGTCTACGCTACAGTTTGGTGAGAGAAACAGCCATTTTTCCAACAAAATTTGAGGAATGTCCACACTGCACTTGCATTCTTCTGCAAGAAAAATTTAAAGAACAGAGGGTTTTTCCGGCATTGGCAATCCTCATTCTACGAGGAAGAAGCCTTTTTGCGAAAGTACTCGTTCGCAAAAAGGCACGTGTGGATGGGGAAGAGGGAGTTCTTTCAGACGAAGAGGAAAAAGCAAGGTGCCCAGGTGGCCATTCCATCCCTAGCAATCACAGCTTATGTGCACGAGAGCGGCCATTCAGGCCGGACGCCTGGATGCTCTCTTTTGAAAAAGCACATTGCTTTTTCATTGTGCTTTTGCTGTGTGGATGCTCTCTTCCGGAAAAGCTTCTTCCAAAAAAAGCTTGCAGTCTAGACATAGCCTCAGTAACTCATTTATAAAAGCGTGTCACATGAAAGAAACAAGACAACTTGTTGGGCTGGGGCTAGGCTTTGCCATGCTGTATTAGTGCAGGAAACTCTCTGGCCAGCAGCCAGAATCAGAATTCCCATTTCGCCTGCAGAGAAATGTCTTCCTAACCCCCTGAAGCATGGCTACATATAGCTCTTCATTTTTTTTAAATCTCATCTGCTGTAACATGTAATCAGTCAGTCTTATTTTTTGAATCCTTGGCTTAAATTATCTTGTGGCAATGAATTCTACAGGCTAATTGTGCAGGGTATTAAAATGTATTTGCGTTTATTTCAAATGTGTTGCCTCGCACTTTCATTATCTATCCCCTTGTTCTGTGTTATGAGAAAGGGAAAATAGGAACTAACCCCTGGTTTAATTTTTCTGTACTGTAATTTTCTATACCTCTGTCAAGACCCCTCTTACTCACCTCCTGTCCAAACAGTCCCAATCTGTTCATTCTCACTTTAAAGTTAATTTGTTTCATGCCCCTAATCGTCTTCTTGCCTGTCTCTGAACCACTTGCATTATCTGCTGTGTTCTAAGACAAAGTGACCAGACCTGGAATTCAAGGTGTAGGTACACGTTGAACCTCTCTAGTCCAGCACCCTCAGAACCTGACCAGTGCCGAACCAGAGAATTTGCCAGCCCGTGGGAGGTCAGTATTGTCTAGCAGCATTGCCAACACTGCCACAGATTGCTGGGCACTCAGAAGATATTTAGAGGTCACTTAGAGCTAAATAACAGCACAGAACACTGAGAGCCTGGGCTGGTGGCTGTAAACAAACTTTATGGGACCACAGGACACTTGGCCACAGCCATTATAAGTGGACATCCGGTTAACTCAAACCATGCCAGACTATGAATATTGCTGGAGCAGAGCTTGCTGGATTAGAGAGGTTCAACTTGTCATGATATTAGAACACTGTGGCTAGATCTACACTGGCGGGTTCTTGTGCTAGAGATATGCAAATGAGGCTAAGCGTGGAATATCGCCAAGCCTCAGGTGGATAGCTAATGAGCTGCCATTTTTGTGGAAGTGGCTCCGGTCAGAAGGCACTGTCTACACTGCCTCTTCTTGCGCAAGAAAAACCCTCGTGCAATGCCGTTATCCCGGAAAATCAGCATAGCGGCATTGCACAAGAGGGTTTTTCTTGCGCAAGAACAGGCCCTGTAGACAGCTCCTGCTGGCGCAAGAGCCACTTCCTCACAAACTGCGGCTCATTAGGTATGCAACTGAGGCTCGGCGATATTCCACGCTTATCCTCATTTGCATATTTCTGGTGCAAGAACCCGCCAGTATAGACATACTTTCTATTCCAGTGTGTGAAAACCTAACCATTTGGTTTGCCTTTCTGACTGTTGCTGCCGATGGAGGAGAGTTGTCTCGACAGCTATCCAAGTTGGAGCCCACCTTTTCTTCCTGAGCGGTGACAGTTAATTTAGAACCCAGCTTTACCTATGCGTGACGCAAAAGGTTCTTTCCAGTATGCATGACCTTGCATTTGTCAACATGGTTTGCAAATAGTTCCTTCCTCCTCCCCCCCCCTTTTTTTTGGTTATACGCAAAAGTATGTTTAATCTCTGCTCTACTTCTGCTGTGGAAGCAGATTTAAGAAGAATCACGGCTGGTTTTCTGGGCATGGCCGCTGCTGTCCTGCTCTGTGGATGCATCATAGCGGCAGTCAGTTTCTTTTGGGAGGAAAGCCTCACACAGCACGTGGCGGGCCTTCTCTTCCTGATGACAGGTATTGCGGCATCTTTGTGTGTGGGTTGAGCTGAAGCCCTCGATTAGGTTGCTCTTTGGTAACCTGTGCTTGTTACACACCAGCAGCGAACACCTTTCTTTGATCTTTCCAGTTAGAACTGACCATCCACTGCAGCTGTTTGGGCAGACATCAAAAAAGCAGGCAAGGTTTTTCTGAGTAGTGTAGGAAAACAGAAAGGGGCCACTTAATTTAGTCTTCCAAGAAGAGAAGAAAAAGATTGTGATTCACATGCCTGGGGTAAGGGGATAAGAGCAGTCCATTACAGCTCTTACGGAGTATGCAAACTCCGGGAGCAGGTGGGCAGAGGCAAGTAGGCACTACTCTTCTCCTTCAGCATGTGCATGGGGAAGAATGGCTCCTTCCCATCCATTTTCCAGCCAGCACACCGGTGCCAGAAATGGGGCGGTAGCATGATTTGCTGGGATATGATTTCTTTCCAGTGCTGCGGCTGCATTGTGTCTGAGTTACAGGTGCCAGGGCTAGTTCTGGCGGGAAGGAGTTTACATCCCCTACTTTGTACAAGACTGGATATAAAGGCAAAATGTATCCCTAGCTGCAGGTTATTAGAGAAAAGACTAGAGGATCCCCAGCCTCTGTTCCTTCTTTAACTGTCCTTTAAAAAAAAAAAAAAAAAAAAAACCAATCCACAATTACAACAAAAACAGCTGTGATTTCTCTGTATAGCTTAGTCAGCATAACCGTTTTGGCCCAGTTATTTATAACGTAAAACTTTGACCTACCATTTTCCATCATTAATGTTTTCTTAAAAATGAACTTTTTGGGGAAGGTTGAGGAAAAGCTTTCAAAGTGAAGGTGGACAGGTGTTAGTTGGTTCCTATTATTTTAAAAACTTGCTTCCCCCCCTCCAATAGCAAGGACTAAGGAAGGGTTAAATTCACTATGGGGGGGAAAAAAATCCAAGGAGGAGCAATGCTTTTCCCTAGGCTGTGGGAAATTTCGTATTGATTTGGCCAAGATATAAACCTTTGAAAACCATATACTGAGCCTGCGCTGCAGATTTCATTGCATAAAACTTGTAAAGTGCAAGCCTAAGGAAAAAAATCGTTATGCACATGGGGCTAATTTCACTGCCTCGTGAAAAACCGAGCACATGCACCAGGGAAGCTGAGCTCCTGCAGGCAGGCGTGGAGTGGCTTTGTCCAAAAGCTCACTCCTCCACCACACAGCTGTGCTGGTGATGCATGGTTGAGTCAATAGCTTGCTCAGACTAGATTGCCAGATGCCTACAAAACTATTACCTCAAACAACTATGGATCTTGTGAAGTGGGAAGGGGCTACTCTCAGGCATGGTTCTGCATAGGGATGTAAATAACTAATCAACTATCCACTAAGCTTTTGCTTATCCAATAGTCACCACACTAGTCAACTAGTTGCTTCTCCCCCTTGCTGCTTTTATCTTAAAAGCAGATTCCCCCCCAGCTCTGGGGGTGGGGGCACGGACGCAGTGGCAATGGAGTTCCACCTTTGAAATGTACAAGAGCCCCCACTGGGGCATTTCAAAGATTGAAATGCTGCATGGAGCCTGGGGTTCATGCCCCAGGCTCTATGTGGCACTTCCTCTTTGAAATGTAGCTACAGTCTTGCTATAATTCAAAGCGGAAGCACCCTTATCGACTAGTCGATGGAAATTCCATTGCCTGATTGAGTTGATTCATCTAATTTTAACATCCCTAGTTCTGAAGGGATGCAAGAAGAGGAACCTCCTCTCTGAACATGTTACGCAACCCTCACGAATCTCCAGGCTTGGCCCTAACACTGCTGCTCTAAAAGATTTCTCTTAGGTAGTGTCTGTAGCAAACCTCAAACTGCTTGTGAAGACTGAAAGTTTCTTTAAAGCAGGAACTACAAGATGTTCCATTCAGTTAAGATCAGAATGGCTAGACTGGGTCAGACCAATGGGCCATCTAGCTCAGTGTCATGTCTGCCGACTGGCCAATACCCAGTGCCTCAGAGGGAGAGATCACAACAGGTAGTCCCAACAGGTAATCCACACATGATCCCTCCAGTCACTCATTTCCAGACAGACAAACAAAGGCTAGGGGCACCCTTCCTACCCACTCTGGCTAATGAGGTATTGATGGACCTAACCTCCATAAGTTCATAATGAAGTGGCAGAGCCAGCACTCAAAGACTTCCATAGTTAGAGGAGACCCTGAAACACCATTAACGCCAGTATGAATACCACATTCTAGCCCCCTAGCTTTTGCCTAGTCTTTGATTATAAACTATTTGTTTAACAGGGGCATGTTTGCTTTTTTTAAATGTATCCCAGACTCTAAATCTGCTAACCATGACAATATGCTTTGTTTGCAGGAATATTTTGCACTATTTCTTTGTGCACTTATGCAGCGAGTATATCATATGATCTAAACCGCCTACCCACCTTCATATATAGTCTTCCCGAGGACGTGGAGCATGGGTACAGCTGGTCTATATTTTGTGCTTGGTGCAGTTTAGGATTTATAGTAGCAGCTGGCTGTCTTTGCGCTGCTTATCCATTTGTCAGCAGGACCAAGATTATTCATCTAAAGTCGGCCAGAAACTCTTCTGTATGACTGGGGCTCCGAAGACGATCTTCTCTATGCTTGTTCAGTGACAGGCAAACACTATTGTTCAAGGACTTATCCCCCACCCTCCCCCCCAAAAAAAAATGGAAGGGAAATTTACATTCAGAGTTCCATGCACAAATACTTGATCCTTCACAATCAACTAGTGAGGCAACAAGAGTTCCGCTGTGCTTTCTGAAATCAAATAAAGGAAGCGCCTTCCCAAGGACAAGGACAGCGTGGTACCAACGTGTCAGGTGGTATACGATGTAACCCTGTCTCTCAAAGGAGATGAGGCTACTCACACGGGAACAATTAAGTGGTTGGGGAAAGAGAAGGAAAAGCTGTGATGAGAATTTAGGGTTATTTCTGTTTTTCCAAGTGTTTGTACATAAAGTAACGGGTAGCAGAGGAGAAAAAAGTTATTATTGGTCAAATGAGTTCTGTGCAGAAGAATGCTTCTCTTGTCCTAGGAGCATGCTTAGTACAGGTTGAATTTCTCTAGTCCAGCATCATCAGGACCCTGGCCAGAACAGCAAGTGTTCTGGTTTGGACCCCAGAAGGTCAATATTGCCTATAAGCAAACATTAGCACTATTGCCTAGCATTGCCAAACACTTCCACGACTTCCTGGGTTCCTTGAAGATGTTTAGGGGGTAAATTAGAGCTAAGTGACAGCACAGAACCCTGAGAGCCAGGACTGGTGGCTGTTAAACTTTATGGGACCACGGGAAGCTTGGTCACACCCTTGATAAGTGGACATCCAGCTCACTAAAAATCATACCAGACCACAGATGTTGCTGGACTGGAGAGGTTCAGCCTGCAGCTTAATGCAGCATCTTCTGAACTTAAATGTAGAGGGTGGGTTTGGTTTTTTTGCTGTAAGATAGACCTACTCTCGTGAGCCCCATCATGAACGTTTTGTCAAAATAAGACCCTTGCTACGTTTCCTTTGTACATCACAAGTTACCCAAAATGTTCATTGCTTAGAGCCATGAGAGATTAATTCGTTCCCAGTGATATTCTTGGAAGTTACCTCTGTTGTGAAACTTCAACAGTTGTGTGTTGAGCTATAAGTCAGTAGTAAAACGCCTCCTTCAGTGAAAACCATGTTTGTGTTGAGTAGACGTTAGTGGCCTGAAATTGGGTTCTCTTGAAGATGCACAACTCACATCTGGATGTGAATCGTCCTAGAAGGATTTCTAGTGATAGGGTCATCACAGATCCAGTCGAGCCTCCCTCTTGGGTCTCAGACTGCAGTGAGAGGCAGTCCAGCCTGTGGGCCCCAGGTTTTAAGCCTCCAGACTCTGAACAGTGCTGGGGGCCCTGCTGAGGGCTCTGGTAAGGATTCTTCGTTTTCCAACTGCAGCGTGAATCCACAGTCTCACTACCCACCCTTCCTGCCCTCAGCCACGGCGCTGCTTTGCTAAAGCCCAGAAGCCTGAGAAGGACAGATGTTTGGGGCCCTTTGTAACCCCAGCTGCAAATGTTTGGGAGTGGAAGAGGGAGGTTGGGATCACACACAGACAGAGCCTGAAGGGGACTCTAGGCAAGTGCCTCCCAATCCCACGAGCGTGCATGGGTGCAGGAGCTCCCACCGGATACTGCTGCTGAGGAACCTCTGCCTGGTTCCTTCCACCCTTAGGGCAACATTTCCCAACTCTTGGAAAGCTGCACAGCCCTGTGTGCAAGTGAACCCTCCCCCCTTTCTCCTCCACACACTGCATGGTGCTCCAAGTACTCAGCTGGGATAACCCTCTAAGTACTTTGAGTCAGAGTGAAGGGCTCCTCACAACAGGATCGGCCCACAAATGCTTTAATGGTCTGAGGCTCCTTGCAAACTCAGGCATACAGCTCTGCCTCAGTCAAGTTTGGGAGGGAGCCGTTCTGTGTGCTGCTGCTGTCCACCACCCCCAGCTCCCATTGTGCGGGAACAGTGGTCAATGGGAGCTGTACGGGTGGGGGGGGAATGCTTGCATGCAGGGGCAGCACAGAGACCCTGTGCCCCTGTGAGGTGCAGGGACAGGCTAGCTGCTTCTAGGAGCAGCACGAGGCCATGGAAGGGAGCCTGCCTTAATCCAGCAGCACAGCAGGGCTGGTCGTCTTGCAGGCTGTATTTAAAGCTCTCATGGACCAGCTGTAGCCCCCCCCAGACTAATTTGCCCTCCCTGGGCTACTGAAATAGCAGCTTGGTGCCAAACTGCAGACTGGCTCTTGTATAATGTATTTCAATTTACATATTTATCCACAATCTTGACTGGTAATGCATCTAAAAGAGTTACTACACTAGACAATATCCAGTTACAAGTAGCTAAATATTCCTTAACCCAATCAGACTGTTAAACACACATTTCATACATATATAGTTTCAATATTGTCAAGTAGCATGATCTCTTACCGTTAGCCAAGACTCAGACTTTTCACACTCCATGAGCTTTCCCTTTACAAAACACATTTTCATTTCCAGGATTTATACAGGGTCTTTAACTCCAGATTAAGCGGACCCTTCTGACACAGGAACCTTACCAGACTGCTGCCACTTTAAGCAGGACCTGTCCACTGTGCAGCAGAGCAGGGCTCTGCCCACCAGCTCCAGGCCTCTCGAGATCTTGTGTACGACAATGCCAAAGTTGTATGAACGGGAGTCAGATGGTAGAGAAAGAATTAGCATTTCCACTTCCATTCTCCACGCTATGCTACACTGTCAAAGGTGGGATTCTTTGGGTAGACATCAGCAGGGGAGAGGTTTAAGATCTCATCCAGCGATGGCCCTTCATCATCTGGTGGTATCTCTGCCTCAAACATACGCTGAAGCTGAGCATCCACTGTCCTATACTCTGGGAGAAGAAAGCAAACAGACAGGTTTCTATACTGGCAGAGGTTCGTTAGCCATATTCCCTGCATTTACTTTATGCTCAAAAACTGAGTGGTCAAGTTACTGGTGTTATGTGCCTCACTTTTGGTGAGGAGTCAGAGGGGTCCACCCTGCCTGTTTACCTCTCCATTCCCCAGCAGACAAAGGCAGCTCTTTTGATCAGCAGGTGTTCTTTACCACACTAAAAAACACGAGCAAGGTCTTTACTTTGCTCTACAGGGTCATTCCCTACGGACACATTTTCTAGCTATTTGAACATCCTGAACAAATCCACAACAAAAGAGCAAACACAATATTCACAAACTGCTGCCCTTTCAAGGGATTGTTCAAATGAAGCCAGTTTGATGGAGCACTCTGAGAAGAAGCAGGAAACACCATACAAGGCCCCTAGGTTCAGACCTTCGATCATTCTGCGTGTTAAAGCAAGTCCAGGCTTACTGCGAGCTTCAATAGGAAGCAGCCAAGATACAGGGAGAGAGCTTGTGGACGGGAAGGAAGAATGTGCATTAAAAACCAAGCAGTGAGAGTTGCAAAGTGTTACCCAAGAGCCTCAGCCAGGATGAAAGCGCAGTAGATACGAAGGAGAAACAGCGACAGACAAAGAGGCCTCCTAACATCTGGAGAAGCTGAACCACGAAGACTTCCTTGTGCAGGTAGCTACTACAGGCGGCGACCTTATGGAGCTAGACAAAGAAAGGGCTACAATAAAAACAGCGGAGACACTGTTAGAATCCGACTGCCCCAAACTGCATTCCGACCGGTCGGCGAGCAAGACACTGCCACCTCCATTACCAACTTGTAACCTCAGCCCAGGCTTAACATGCAGCAGAAAAATAGGGCCAAAGCTCAGGCTGTTTTTTGCTTTTATAAAATTTGTGCGGCAAGCACAGAGGTGCCAGGGCTATGAGCGGCCAAGCACAGAGGAGCCAGGACTCAGAGCTGGGAAAAATTGAGCCCTGGCAGTGCTTATAAGACTGCCTAGGAAAGGAGACGACGATGGGGAGGGTTGGAAATATTCCTAAAGCAATTCCTTAGCTCTCAGGTGCCATTTGAAAAGGGATTTAGAAGACGTCTTGAGGTGGGTTGGAGCTGCATAGGCAGCTCCATCTGTATTAGCCTCCCCTCCCACCCCAACCCAAGACTGCTCCCCTCCCTGCCTTGGGACCCTGAAAATCTGTGTTGGGGGAGATCGGGGAGGATTAAAGCTGCCAATGGCTCATCTCACCAAGAGTGGATTCCAGAGGGGAACCCTTGAAATCCCACTAAGTGGTTTTCCAGGGAACATGCCATCCTGTAGTGGGATCTGTGCACACAAGCAGGCTATTGGAGAGGGGCCCAGGTGGGTAGAGGGACATTGCACCATCCTAACCAAAAGCCACACCACACCCGCTTGCCCGGGGGCACTGATCAATGCCAATTCCTAGTATTTCAGTAGGATCTCTGTATGCCAGCCCCAAGGATTTCCCAGCTGCTGTTCACAGCCCTGGGAGAGAGATGTGATCTTAGAGATAGCAGACAGACATGCAGAGAATTCAGCAGGGGATTTAAATTAAATTAAATGAATGGAGATTGCCTATCTCCTAGAACTGGAAGGGACCTTGAAGGTCATCAAGTCCAGTCCCCTGCCTTCACAGCAGGACCAAGTACCATCCCTGACAATTTTTGCCCCAAATCCCTAAATGGCCTCTGCAGGGATTGAACTCACAACCCTGGGTTTAGCAAACCACTGAGCTATCCCTCCCCCTGGATTTATTCCCAGGTGCAGAGCGTTTGGGAACGGACTTACTTTTAGAAGCTATTTTAAACATCAGTCCTTTAGACTTCTTCTTGGATATTTCTTCCCCTCCAAGGTCATGCTCATTGGTTTCCATGTTGTCGATTAATTTACCATCACACAGTTCTTCCCTTTAAATGAAAGGGGAACACATATGGCCCCAGAAAGCCACTTAAAATGCCCGCCAGCCCTCTCCACAAGTGCATGCCCTGGACTGGCTCTCTGAGCTCTGGCCGGTGGGGCGTGGAGCGACAGCAAGCCTTCCCCCAAAGGGCCCTTTGCATGCCAAGCAGGGCACGGCTCAGAATCAACAGTGCAGGCCTGGAGGCACCAGAGCAGAACTACCCCGACCCACCTCCAGCAGGGGGGTGGGGAGGAGAGAGCAGCATGGAACCAACAACTGCCATGGACTTGCTCTTTCATTAGCAAGATGTCTGTCCGGGCAGCGGGGGGGGGGGGGGGGGGGAGTGAT